CTGTCCACTGCCACAACTTTGGTGACCAGGTAGCCTGTCTCTGCCCCCCTGGGAACAAGATCATTTGATGGAGAAGTGCTGTTCTGAAGTGGGCAGAGGATAAAGGGGGCGTTGTCATTTTCATCCATGATATGAACTTGGACCATCGTTTCTGAGCTTAGTGCTGGAGAACCTTTATCTATAGCCCTCACCATCACCTGGAAATTTTGTATATCCTCATAATCTATAGATCGGATGGCATATAGATTCCCAGTTTCAGAGTTGATAGAGATGTAAGATGATGCAGGGCCATCCCTGATCTTTCCAGGCAAGAGCAAATAGGTCACTTTGGCGTTCTGCTCTGCATCCAAATCAATTGCATGAATTAATCCAAAGAGTAGACCTGGAATATTGTTTTCTCGTAAGTGCAAATTATAGAAAGATTTTTCAAACACCGGAGTGTTGTCATTGACATCTGAAATTTGAATGTTAATAATTCTCATTGAACTGAGACTGGGAGAGCCTTGGTCAGCGGCTGTGATGGTGATATTATATTCCGACACTTGCTCTCTGTCCAATGGCCAGTGGATCACAAGCTGGTAATAATTGTTCTTTGTGGGTTTTAGCATAAAGGGTAGGTTTGAATCAATGTTGCAAGTAGTTCTGCCATTGTCCCCAGAGTCCAGGTCTGTGACGCTGAAGACAGCCACTACTGTTTCTATGGGATAATCTTCTGGTAAAGGGTTAGTGACAGATGATAGGGTTACTTCTGGGGCATTATCGTTTTCATCCTCAATGTCAACAAAGACTTTACAGTAAGCAGAAAGCCCCCCTCCATCTGTGGCTTTGATGTTCAGTTCAAAATTACTGTTTTCTTCATAATCAATTTTCCCTACAAGAGTAATTTCTCCAGTATGATTGTTTAATTTGAATGATCTGAGCACATTTCCTGGTACTTGGCTAAAAGTGTAAGTGATGTGAGCATAAGCACCCATATCGCTGTCACTGGCTGCCACTTTAGTGACCAATGAACCTGGTGGGCTGTTTTCTGCAAGCTGTACTTTGTACACAGATTGTTCAAAATGGGGGACATTATCATTTGCATCTAAAATATCAATTATTATTTGCGCTGTACCAGTTCTCCTTGGGATCCCACCATCCACCGCTTCTAGAATTAGGGTAATCTGAGGAATTGTCTCACGGTCTAATGCT